CTCAAATATTTTTTGTTTTGTGGTGTTAAATTGTGAGTGCCTCTAATGAGCTTTCCAGGCGGCTGCGTGTTATGTTTGAGGGGAGAATGTGTTATTTGGCTGTGCTTATCCAAGCAGAGTAGGTAATAAGAGCGTAATGGGGAAACAGTGGAGTTGAGATACTATAAAAGGAGGAGGAGGAGGTGGAGGAAGAGGAAGAGGGTTGGCTGGTTTGTCGGGATACACCGCTGAACTTTGTTTTACTGGGATCTCTAAGATGACGTCTACGTTTTCAAACACGTAAACGACGACGGGGGTGAAAAAGGGGCTCGTTTCGAAATGTGCACATTTAGACCTGAAGCTTAATGTTGGGAGCTTGTACTGGATTGGGCTTTTAGCGCACGCGGTAATGTCATGCAGGCAGTTCGGCACCCGCATAAATGTTTAAACCGGTTTTCACCTTGACACAGCTGCTGCTGCTGCTGCTGTAATGCAGGAGTTGGTCAAATATGACCGTTTAGCAGGTCGAGCTTGTAGAGTTGTGTTGATCTACATTTGTCACCGCTGTACAGGCAAAGAGAAACAATCCCTCAATATCGCTACGTTCATTTTTCAACAAGACCGCCAACCTTGACAAAACACACCTCGTCTACATAACACAAGTCACGAGCATTTCTGTCACAAGTGTGAAGGATTTGAAACTAAAACTAATATAAAAATGTGTTACCTAGGAAATGTACGTACATATATTAAAAAAAGAGGAGGAGGAGGTGGAGGAGGTATCTATCTATCTATCTATCTATCTATCTATCTATCTATCTATCTATCTATCTATCTATCTATCTATCTATCTATCTATATATATATGTTTTTATGAAAATTAATGCTTGTTTTGTGGATTTTGAGTTTCTCGTATCTAGAGCAGAGTAATATATACAACATCGGATTAACTTCTCGGATGCCGCATTTGGCAGAGTATCTTATATGAAGTTTGTTATTATTATTATAATAGAAAAGTGGCAGAACAGAGGGGAAAATATCTTTAAAGTCAACAGAAATCAAACAAAAACATAAAGCTAAGATTATTGGCTTTACAATATAAACACTGGACAACTTTAGAAATCAGTCTTATTGCTTTTTTTTTTCCTAGCTGTGAATTATGTTCAATTTTTTTTAAAGTGTTTTTGAGCCCCACTTTTTAACTTCACTGAAACATAAATGTCTTTGTGCGAACGTTTTACCCACGTTTCAGCCACATTTTCCTGTAGCACGGATTAATGTTCAAATTCATTTCGCTTGCGTAGGCAGCAGGCGTTACATGTCATCCATGTGACAGACTGCTGGTCTGTCCAGGTTCTCACCTAAACAGGACTCAGTGGGTTTAGATCATCTGTTACGTTGTATCTTTTTTTGTTGTTGTTTTTTTTACCAGTTTCATTTTGTATATTAGCTGTACTTAGAAACATCAGCAAACCTTTAGGTTTTACACGACAAACATCCTTTTGATAACCCAGATTTCTAATTTGCACGTTTTTTAGAGGTTTAAAATCTCATTCATTCTGTTATTTTATTTTTTTTTATTTTATTTTTTTTGCAGGTCACTCTACTTAAAAACGTAAACGTAAGCTGCATTCACGAAAAATGCATCATGATGTTGCTTGTAAGAGGAAAAAAAAAATAACATAACTTTTTGGTATTTTTAATTAATGAGCTGTTTCTCCACTGCTGGATACAGCTGTTAAGTGATTTATGTTCAATCTGTCAATTAATCTCATTTGCAGGAGACGATTTGAAGGCGTTGCTGTAGACTAATTATAAACCGCTACTCTTTGAAGAGAAATGAAGATTAGGCGTCATGTTTGTTTTTCTCATTCAAAAGGGGCATTTTATATTAGAGTAGCTTTCAAAAATTACTACAGCAGAAACGCAAAGAAAGACCGAATGGCGAAATAAGCATAAATATTGTCCCAAAACACTCAAAAAGGACTTTCCAAGAACAAACTCCAGATGCAAGAAACATTCAGGAGTCTTGCATCTATGCTATTTGAGACTGTATAGCTTAGAAACTATTTGTGTTATCACTCTTTTTCTTGCGAAAGAGGTTTTTAATCTCAAATGGGATTTTCCTGGTGAAATAAAGGTAAAAAAAAAATACTTGGATGCTCTATTTTACAGCAGATGTAACAAGAGTCAAAGAAATACTGCGAACTGGAGTGAGCTACTGTGAGCGTGAAAAAAAAAATGTGCTGAGAAAAGCTTTGGGTAAACTTCCCAAAAAGTTCAGAAACACCCAACCGCAAGGAAATTATAATTGAATTAGAAACTTAATGTCATTTGTTAGTTCAGCCCCCGTCAGCCATGGAAAAAGTAATACTGCCCACTAGTTTAGCCACTAAAAGTCACCTTAGAGATATCTCCCAGCTTTTAAATTAACAAAAAGAAAAATTATCCTCAATATGAACAGTTGGGGGTTGTTTCTACCAAAAAGCTATGAATATTATTTTCCTTTTTACCACTTTACCTAGAAGCTTCAAGCGGCAGCAGTAGGAACAAGAAGACAGTGTCTGCCCAACTCCCTCACTTTCTCGTGTTCTGGTTGCAAAAAATATCTCGGAATAACAAGAAAACTCTTGTCTGCTGCTTCTCTCCTATCACTCTTTCACACTCCAACTCCTTCTCTTTCTCTGTCCTTCCAGCACTACTCCTCCTCCCATAGTGTCACAGTCCATATGGTGCTGCAACACTGTTGGTCTCCTGTGGCCACACTTCCCACGATGCATCTGTGGCTCTGGGCTTTCGATGGAGCCGATAGGCTGAGAGTACTGAGGTATCGACCAGCTATCGCCCGGTGTGAGGTCAGCTCGGTGCAGCACTGGAGTGTGTCCACTGACTTTCAGTCTATCATGGACTCTGCCAATCAATCCTCAATTTTCTGCTCTTACCTTTGCCTCTATAGAAGTATGTCCTCGTGTCGTATCCCTTTCTTTGCAGCACATTTCTCCCTTTGCGCTGTGCTGTCGAGTATTTTGTTCCCCGAATCGCCACGAGATTGATCCATTTCAGCTAATTTCTCTCACAGCCACACAAAGTGAGACATCGCTGGTAGGTTTTTGTCCTTTCAGGCTGCAGCAACAGTATTCCGCAAGGAACATTGACATTTTTTAAACGAATATTTTTATTATTATGATTATTTGTGAGCTGTGTTTCAGTGGTTTTCTACTATGCTCCACATTGTTGTGTTGCTGTGAGCTGGCTTCCTCTCCTGTCTGTTTCCATACAGAGAAAACAGAGCTTAGCAGAGATCAATCCCATTGAGTCTGACTCTTTTCACCAGCCAAGGATCGATACGTTCTGTTTCATGTCCCGTCCCCTCCCCTCCTCCTTTTGCAAAGTACACACAGGAACGCATGTACATGCAGACACACACAGGGACAGTCTAAAGACATGGCTAAGGGAGCTGACCCAACCCTTCAGAGATGACCTATCGGCCTATCGGCTAACTTGCTCACCGGGGGATACAAAAGTTCATTATGACAGCTTTGCTAGTGCTAAATATCTGCTTTAGGCCTCACGCTAAAATACAGTAGGAAATCTGATTGTTTTTGCAGCTGACTAAGACGTGCTGACTTCAGAGAAAATAGGGGTTCAACCATCTTATCGTGTGAGTCAAGATGTTCTTAAGATTTGACAGAACAAAATTACTAAAACTTGTTTATCGACACACGGTGGAATAAACAATTTATACCGACAAGCATTGACGGTATAAGAAATTATTTTTTTTAATGGAAGCTGCTACAATCCATTAGTTTGCATTTTATTTTACCAGACTTCTTTGTGCTTATGCGAATATGTTTTGCTTGAAAACCTCTCCTTTATGCTTTTGGATATTTTTGTAATGACTTGGTACACTATAACATATTTTTTTAAAATAAACTGCCGTTAGAGGAAGATTTTAGTGTTGCTTCAAATGGGTCATTAATAGGTTAGCTAGGTTAGCTTAGCATGCATTTTCCACCATTTATACCCATGTCACGCTGATGCACATCTACTTTGTTTCCATAGCAACTGCATTGCTCTGTGTAAATTATGCTCCAGCATTTATACAAATCTGCCAATGTGGCGCATGTAAACTGATTGCCAGCCTGGCTACCAGAGATCTTTTGGAGATGCAGAAAGACTCTCTGGTGCAAATACTGCAACTCAGAGATGCCATGGACATCACACGAATCCACAGGTACCACTGGGACGACATGTAAGGAAGTGCTGCCCAAAGGTCCTGCCCATATATTTCTCTAGATATGCAGGAGCTTCCTTCAACCAGGTATGCCAAATACTTGATGTGGCAAACATAATAACTATTTGACCTCTTGATTATGCTCATAAAGCGCTCATTCTTCATGCTTGTACGTCATACATTCATAAAGTATGAAAAGAAGAAGAAAAAAAATAGCATTGGTTGATACCTTAGTCTTTGCAGTGACACTGCAAAGATTTTCAGCCCTTCATCCCGATATACACCCCATTAAAAGGATTGAAAGCATCTGACTTAAAATTGACTTCATGCTTCATTTTTTACATTTAGACACAGGTAGAATATTATTTTACTTACACCGATTTACATGGAAAGATAAGAAGCAGCATGACAGCAACTTCAAATCTGAGTGCACTGGGTAATCTGTTGCTTTTCAATGAAATTATCATATTTTAATATTTTCTATATGTTTTCCATGTGTAGACATAATGTATGTTACATACTGGCACCATATTGTATCCTGAATTCAAAAAGTTTACGGGCAACACTAAGAAAGTTGCTGGCGATGGGAAACTTATAGACATTTCAGTAGAATAAACAGAGCGTCCCAATTAAGTTTCTGGCAATGCATATCGAACTGGCTTTTAAATAGCAAAAAAACAAGCTCTGTCACCATGTAATACCTTCAGTCCAGCACAGTTAGGATTAAGCTTCTTATCTGACTGCGCAATTATGCATTTCAGATGGATTATTTGCTCCGCAGACCCACCTTGCCTGGAGTACTCATCAGACTCGTGGTGTACCAAATCTGTCACGCAGCCGCCATAGTGAAGCCTCTGCTCATGATCGAAGGCCTTCAGCGTCTCGCTGGAGCTGTACGACTTCTGGGTGGGCACGCGGCGCTCGTCTGCATCGAGCGAGGAGGTGTTGTACTGGGAGTCTTTGGAGCAGCGGCTCCTGGTGAGGGAGCGATTACTCCGGTCTTTTAGATCCATGCTGATGCTGGGTTAAGTACGGCGATCCTCTGGGGTAAACGCTGCAGCGAGGGAGGGAAGCGTCAGCGTCGGGGGAGGGGGTAGAGAGGCCTCCTAAAGTGCCCCCCCCACAGAGTCCGCTGATATTTCGGTCACCTGAAAAACAAAGGTAGGAGGGGGAAGCGGAAAGAGCAGAGGAGCGAAAAGTTAGAGTAAAATTAACAGAGGTTCCGCCGTGACTCACTCTTGCCTTCCACTCCCAGCGGACCCCACAGGGAGAGTTAGGTAAGAGGGAGCACTACGAATGGACATTTGAGCAACCGGGCAAATATACAACACATTGGAGTATTGACGCAGGATAAGTAAGGCTATTGTGGGGAGAAACAGAGCTGCCAGCCCTGTGGTCCACAGAGATACTCAGCCATCGACCGTGCTGATGAAAAATAGTCATCTGGCACACAAATCTATTCCATAAAAACAGTGAGCGACTCAAACACAGTCCAGTCAGCCCGAACTGAAGGAAGCCATGCACAAATTTCCACGAAAGCGGCTGAAAAAGACCGGGCGGTGTGACGACGACGCAGACAGATAATCTGCATCGGAAGAAGGTAAAGGCCAAAGAAAGAGAAACGCTGCCGGATGCAAAACGCAGGATGGAAGGGGAGGAGAAATGACTTAAGGGCATTGGAAGTCTCTCCCTCATTATCAGAGTGAGAATGGATCTGGCTCCCTTAGAGCCTGTAAGGGATAATCAAACACACCCAAATGCACGCACTCACACAAACAGCACACAACAAAAACAAACACACACACACACACACACACACACACACACACACAGTGACGTGTATTTAAAGATCTGCACAGAAAATGGTGTCACCTGAACTCTCCGCGGCCTACATCCCGACTTGCAAAGACATGCCTGTTTTTTTGTGTTTTTTTTTTTGCAATTACCTCAGCACTTATTGTTTGATCTGTTCGCTCTAGCAACGCCAGCAACCATTTAATTTCTAAAACCATATCATTTATGAATGCAGGCTATAAATGAACATGATGCTAATAAACCATGATACTTCGTCGAACAGCCTTGAGCAGTGCAATACGCTCGGGAGCCGAAGTTCAAAGAACAACAGCGCGAGAACCAGCTGAAATTGACAGGAACACTTCCAGCGGCTGCCGGGATTTGATATTCACGGCAATAAATAGGTCATTCACGGTTCTATTACTTGAGGCTGAGGAAAGTCTGGTCCACCCACTGCATTAGAGCCGAGCATTGTGTTTTCAATCTCTCAATGCTTCTCGGTCTGGACGGCACTCAGCACATATCAGAGCGGGAGAGGGCATTTCTGAAGAACAGCCATCAGCTGATTTTGAATATGTTATGTTGCTAATTGCACACTCCAATGGGAGAAGAACAAGAGCGGAGACAAAAAGAAGAAGAAGAAGAAAAAAAGGGAGGTTTTAGTATGTGAGTCAATCTATTCTATGAGGGCTCATTTTAAAATGCTTGGAAGGTACTATTGAAAAGTGCCCTGCTATGTCCATTGATTAACAGTAGGTATTAAGTCTCATAAAGAGCTCATTATTCTCGGGCATCCATCACACAGGCTATTAGGAGTTCAACCTTAATGTGTTTGTACCTTGTATGGAGGACGAGGAAATAGAGTGGGATACAGGCTCAGGAAATGCGGAGACACTTTGACTGGTAATATCCAAACAACGGACGAGAGTACATAGAAGAGCCGCCGCGATGGTCAGCGGTTGTATGTTGGGGGAATAATTCGTTTTGGCTGTTTTAAAGTGTTGGTTTAAACTCTGGGGAAACAACACGAGCTCATGTTTAACAGTAAAATAAGCTTGCAGCTTGAGCTCGTTTCCCAAAAGTGCAAGAAATCGACTGGTTGCATTATTCAGCTTGATGGCAATTGGATTGTTTGGACTACAAAATGACAATTGTTCTCAGTAGTGTTATAACTGATTTATGACAGGATTTTAATTCCTTACACGCCCATCAATATTAGAGGCACAGTGGCAACCTCAGTGCAATCCTCGATAGAGGAGGACAATGAGAATCGGCTGCACACACATGCATACACACGCATACACACGCATACACACGCATACACATGCATACACACGCATACACATGCATACACACGCATACACACGCATACACACGCATACACACGCATACACACGCATACACACGCATACACATGCCCTCAGCAAGCATGTCCTTCTCCAGGAACACTAAGTGTTTTTAGATCTTTAGATTTAGATTTTTTTTTTTTTGGTTTTATGGAAATAAGGATGGACTTCAATGATGAGTAGAAGATGGTGGATGGCTTGTGAAAGTCGACCCAAAGAAACAAAAATACCACTGAGTTCTCCCACTTGGTCAACAAAGATGACTTATTTACGGCTACAACTACACATGCGGCATGTAAACAAGGACCTTAACAATGTTCTGTTTGGACAGCGAAGAGGTTGGTCTCCTGCGAAACCTTTACCTTAATATTTGATATCGGATCTGATGGAGCAATGACAGCGGGGAGACGACCGCTATTTATTGGTCATAGCAGAATTTTGTTCAAATGGACAGCTTAGTCACACTGGAGACACGCCGCTGTCCAAAAAGTCATAATTGCTTAGGCGAATCCTCTGCTTCACTGAGAATCAAAAGTCTTGGAAAGCTGCTGCACAGGTTTGTTTTTATGCATATTTTTAAATATATAAACTGATAACAAATGACTTGTTACTTGTTAAAAACAGGGAAACTGTTGAAACATTTACGGCCAGCCACATTTTACAAGAGCTGCAGCTGTACTATGTTCCCTCTGGGAAAAAACCCCGTTTGTCCTGATTACGCCGAGAATCGATGAATTGGTTTCTGAAGCCTGGGAGAAATGACCAGATCCCAACACTATTCTGAGGCAAAATTGATCTTAGATATTTCCAAAAGACCAGCAATTGCTTGACCTGGCCTGAACGAGAGCACGACAAACACGTCAACTTGTGTTTGTCGCACGCTGGGTGTGTTAGCTAGCTGGGACAGTTTACCCTGGTTTTGTCAGATACACTGCAGTTAAGCATGAGAAAGAAACCTGCCAAATTTATTTCAATACATAAACTTAGCAAAAAAAAAAAATTGAGAGTATTGTAAGCTGCCAAGCCAAGCAACATGGTTTGATGAAGCAATTAATTCAATAAAAAAAAATAAAAACAAAACAATCTTACGTCATCCGAGATAGCGCACTCATTTTTCTTTCAACCACAACATCAACAATACTTATTAAAACATTTATAATATGGCTACTGCCCGCTGCATGCTACTCTGACTGATTTGTATATGAGTCTGGTTGCTGGTGGATTATTGTCTATTTCTATTTTCTTTTTATTGATCTTCTGTGTGGGCGGCTAAAGTGACAGCACTTTAGTCCAAAGCTAATTCCCCCAAAGGGACTGTAAAATAGCCTATATATTGTATATCCTTTACAATGCAAACATATTTCATTTTAATGTTGTTTTCACAATGACTATTCCATAAATATTAATTGATTTATTGTTTTTTTCCACTAAAGCAGCAGCAAAACAACCCAGTTCCTAGCACTGCTGCCATTTTAAGGCAGAGGACTCTTATAGGAAGCCTTTGTTTGTTGTAGCTGTGAGGGATTGATAGGGAGGACCCTAATGCAAGTAAGGCTCCAAAGGCAGGTGGATAATGGTGAAACTGACTGCTCTGACATGGGGAAAAATGAAACCTAGTACTATTTATATAGAGGACTGTAAAGGACTGACACCAGGCCGGACTGGCGTGATAACAAGGAACCTGGAACCTTGTGCGCAGGAAGCACAAACCAAAGCAAAAACTGGCATTTCCATGGAACAGTAGCAAAGAAACCCTCAAAAATAAACTTTTCTAAACCGAGCAGCAAAGAAAAAGCATAGGAGTACATTTTAGGATTTATCGTAAAGGACATAGACTGTACACATAAACATCCAGGTAAACCGTTTAATTGTAGATTTGCTCCTCAGCGTGATTGAAAAACAAGATGAAAACTTAAGAGATCACAATAATCGGCTGTCAAAAATGGTCAGTACAAAATAACCAGAAGTGCAACGGCACTCGTCTTTATTGTTCGTTTCACACACACACACACACAGAAAAGTTTAGAAAAGCTTACACATGAAAAACGAAACAAAAAGAACCGAAAGAAATACTTTAAAGGTCCACCTTTGAAAAGATTGTTTAAGATGGCAACCCAGTGGGTTGTGATGAAACACACACTTTGTTGTGTATGTTTTACTTTTTCTTTCATTCTTTCTAATGTCACTTTTTTCTTACCTTCGTCAAGGTTTTATTTTATGCTTTCAAGTCTTGATCCTGGGTGAGATAGTCCAAAAACTTAATAGCCTTTTCTCAACTATTTTAGCCGCATGTCTCAACTCTTGTTCGTCTGAAGGTCCACCGGAGCCCACGGCCAGCTTTCCATTTCCCATAATGCTGGCGATATCTCTCCTGATCATCACACTGGGCGTTTATCATGTATCACTCGCTCTCATTTGCACAAATTACACAACACACTTTACTGTCGCGCTACCTGTCGGCTACACACGTACTCATCTAACGATCCGGACAGCAACGGCTGGCAGATGGACAAACAGATCTGCCACGGAAACGGCGCACAAACATCCGGCCGAGCTCACAGGTAGTTTCCTTGACGGCTGAGGAAAGAGTCGCACGAAGGAGAAAAGAAACCATAAAGTGACCGTGAAACACGGGCAGAATGAGAAATGTAATCGTACGGTGACGGAGAGAACGAGGAATTCATTTTCAGAATTACACAGGTGAGGTTTGGAGAAGATAATGACCTTTTTCTTTTTCTTCAAATAAAGGCTGTAGACGACGTGATGAAAACACAGTGTCAGTTCGCTGTAACTACAACTCGTATTCGGTTCATAGGAAGTTAATGACATAACAGGATTATAGAGCTTCAGACAAGATGGGTTTTTTTTTCCCCTTTCAACTCAAGCTGGATTGGGAAATAAAACAGGATTTCATAGGAAAACTGATTTTTGAAGGTTTTATAAGACACATACAGTAGATGTATGTTTTTCTCCATGCTTTGAATTTATGTACACCATTTAATTAATGA